TGTTGATGCATGGCACCTGTGTGCCCTCTGCTCCCTTTGGTGGCTGCTCAGTGCCCCTGGGCCCCCCATGGCTCATTGCTGTCAGTGCTGCTCACCTGCTCCTCACAGCTGTGCCCACTGGGGATGAGGCTGGGCCCAGCCCCACTCCCAATCACCACAAACTGTGTGCCTACAGTTACAGGCAAGCGGAAGCTAAGCCTTGGAAAGCTGAATGATGCCCCACTTACCTCCAGAGCTTGACTAGGAGAGCATCAGCAGACACAGGGGACAAGTTTCATGCAGGATAGTCTGCAGTTCCTAGGATTCTCTACAGAGAAAGAACAAGCTCCAGTACTGACCACGGAACCAAGTACCTAATCCTCTGTGTTGGAAGGGGACTGAGGTTTCATGATGAGGCAAATACAGGCAGCTTACTATGAGCAACAAACCTGCTGGATTCATACCTTGGTCTGGCAACTCAGTAAATGCTGAGCAAAAACCAGGCTTATCACAGTCACACGAGGGCTTCAAAGACCCCCTGGCAGGGGTCTTTCTGGGGTGTTCACAGTGTCTTCTTCCCCAAACATCAGGTCAAACCTAGAAGCTCTAAAGACTTATCAGCCATTTTCACACAGGAGAGGATGCCAAAAAGGCAACACTTATACTGGAAAGTCCCTAGTGGGCAACAGCAAGTGTAAAGCTTTCACAACCCTAGGCATGCAGCAGCAGTTCAAGTGGCAGAGAGACTGTAAATATTTGCTTTTCTCTGCTTCATCAAAATCCCTGAAAACCAAAAGGCCCAGAGAAAGTGGAAGAAAAGGCCAAAAGCTGAAGCCATACTAGGTCCTCCTTTAGCTTTCCACTTGTCCAAGTGAGAACCAGACAGCTCCTGGCTCCAGCTGTAGTCATGCTTGTAGTGCACTTCATGATCTGTCCACTCTCTCAGAGGTGCTTGAGAGGAGAAAAAAACTGTTCATGCTGGTGTACAGCAGAAAAATCCAGTATGCTGGGGTTGAGGCAGCTGTCAGAGGCAGAGCTGGGTAAAAATGCTCTCGATGTGCCTGGAGGGAGGTGCTGCAGGGCTCAGAGGTCTGGAGGTCTGCTCACCCTTCCACCTGCAAATGCTCCTGCTTGTCCCCAAGGCTGAGGCTATGCAGATGGACAGGGATATATTTGATCAAAACAGAATCAGTTTATCTGCTCCTAAAATGTAATGCACTTTGCTTTCTGATGGCAAGCCTCAGAAATACCAAAATTAGACTTCAGAAGAATATAAAAAGCTCCCCGCTAACACAATGTGCAAATGGACTGTTGCACTTACTGCGATCTTGGGCAGCACCAAAATTAGAAGGCAACACCAAACAGCAAAGAAAACTGCCGCTAAAAAATACCAACATAATCCTTTTTTTAATACATATTGTTAAAATGAACATTTTTAAAAGCTGAAGAAATGTGAGCCCGGATGCCATCACCGCATGTCTTACGCAGTTCCTGATTATAAACGAACAGCAGAATCCATATAAGAGAATCTAAAGTGGTATGGATTGGAGCCCAGCTGGTGTCCCCATATGCCTTAGAAATTCCATTTTTAGGAACACAGCAGCATATAACTTTAGGGATGCTTCTCAAACATCTCATTTATAAATAGAACAGAGCTGTTTCACTGAAGTACACATGGAAAAGGTCCACAAGAATAATAAAATCAGTTGCATTCAAAACACTGAAATGGTTCAACCCCACTGTTGTCAGTAGGAACCACTCTGTACCAGAATACTCCTTGAATGAGGAATGATGCTCCTTCATCACTGGGATTTTCTAAAAAGCAATCACCAAAAAGCCATTTTAGTACAAAAGTGCCAACTTAATACTTTTGGTAAAACTGCTCGTGCTCAAGGCTTTTTTTGGGTCCAGAATGGAAGAGCTAATGCCCAAACTTCAGGGCAGTGAAGACTCACAGATGTGGGAGGGTAAATTCTTGCCACTTCTTAAAATTAATCAAAGCAGTGTCTGGAGCTTGGCTGGTCCACATTCTGGGGAGAGTCCTTCCCCAACAGGCTGTGGACTCTGCAACACAGCTCTTCCTCTCATGCTTTTCAAGCTCACCAGAACCACTTCTAAGGGAAGGTCCATAACTGTGGGGATTTCTGGTTAATTATGAAAATATGTCACCAAATGCAATTCACATAAAATCATGATTTCATTACATGCACACCATCAACCAAAATATATGTAAAGCAGACACCTAAAAAAATACACTACATATGAATGAAAAATTATTTTATTTAAAAATACATTATACAGCAGAGTGTCTCTCTTTTTGTTTTCTCACTGCTGGTTCACAGAGATAGTATGATAATTTTAACCCAAATATTTGACTGGGAAAGATCCTGAGAAAGAGACCAGTTACAAGCTGATGATATACAGTACACTGAAAAAGAGTCATCTCTTTTAACATAAAAGAATTTCTTGGTAATCTTATAAATCAGATATAAAAAAATGCAGATTTGCTACCATGCAAAATGAGTGAACATTTCATTTAAATCTGCACACAGAGAAATCATTAGTACCTTGGAACCTAACTAGCTAGACTAAGAGCAGGGTGAGTTTAACACGGTGATACAAACTTTGGATCTACTACAATTTTGTAAACACAGTTGATAGTCTAATAAAGGTGTATTTTCAATCACCTAAGTAACCTAGTTGTAGCTAAGGACTCTATTCTAGGTTTTTTCTCCCCACAGACATATTTCTTCAATCTCTTAATTCTCAGCTTAGCACAATGACTTCGTGGCATATGCTCTATTGCACTTTGAGATGACTTGGCCTTGCCCTGTTTGCCAAGCACTCTTTAGGTAGTTGTATTTTAGTGAAAGCAGAGGTTAAAACATAAAGTAAAAGCAGGCATTACCTGATGACTATGTGAGAATGCATTAAAATTCATCATAGAAAAAATATACCTGATTCTACATCCTTGTGTTTCAAACATACTCTAACAGTGATTAATGCACAGGAAATACACTGAACTCTGGAAAATTTAAGGCCTTAAATGCTCAACAGCCTGCACTGACCAATAGTATTCTCACTGTTTCTATAGTGCTAGCATTTTATCAGTTTTGCCAGAAGGATACTGTCTGGCACATGTTAAGAATGTCTTCTGTATTTACAATATGCAGATCCAATTGGTGCTCAATTTTTTTAGAACAACTTCACTATGAATAGTCAGCACAGTCTTCCAAAGGGGGGGTGGGCTTAATCTGAGTATTCACAGCAATAACAGAGATATGGTAACACTGGCTGGTGTTGAAGAAAAATCAATTTGTAACATCAGGCAGACTGGCAGAGGATTTTTTTTTTTCTATTTTTAAGAATATGAGTCTCAAACATAAACAGAGATAAAAAGTTTTGTAGAGATAAAGTCTGCCTGTCCTGGTCACTTAGGCTGAAAAAAAAAAATCAATTGAGCCACTTTGCTTGTTCCATGAGTTTTCCATGAAAATGGAGAGTAGAAACTCAGATGAACTTTTCTCATTAAGCTGGTGACCCTCTTCTTATCTTAGCACCCATTCTCCCAGCATAGTATCAGGGAGTATAACAATCATGAGAAGATGCAGGCTGCCTTGAGTAATTTGATTAAATGATTTATGAATAGCACAGCTTCCCATCAGATATGCTAAGCTAAGAACAGAGCCCTTAACCTTTCACGGGATATCATTAGTAATAAAGAATATATCAAAGATCAAACTCTCTAAATTATTCTCATTTCTTTTAACCTAGATACATATATGTCATCCAAGACATTCAAGAACTACAAAACAACAATTCAACTACAATTATGTCAGGAAAATATCCAAATAAATAAACTTTTAATTATGATACAATACTTATTACAGTAAAAATTGGCATTTTTTTCTCTTCAAAAGCAGAAGCACCAGTCTTACATATAACATACTGTTTGAATGATATCTTACATGGAATACAGCGTAATACAATGTGCAAACAGCATTTTCATACAGAACATAATATTTGTCTAGTTTTTATACACTGAAATTGCCTCAAATGGAAACATGTTCATGCTGAATTAAAAATGTAGATTTTAAAAATCAAAGTTAAATCAAAATACAAAGTACTGTTGGAATAGGTACATGAACCATTGAAAACAATGAGAAGCCAAAATAGAGGGTAATGTCAGATAATTAGTGCTCAGTTTGTCCCATTCCATCATAAAAGTAAACAGTTAATATTTTTGCTAGAAAGTAAAGTGACGTTCTAATATTTAAGAATTCTTCAAAATGTTGGTATCGTTTTAGTGATGTAAAAATCAAGTCAGAAATAGGACTTCTAAAAATTTCTTATTTTTGATACACTGCAAATATCATGTGTGGGCTGTGAAAAGAGATGAAGTCCAGTGGAGTGAATATACCTCAGCGTCAACATCATGTGACTTCTGCAAAGGCCGTGATGTGGTTCTACGAGTTAAAGGAAAAACAAACAGATAAAAACCACAAAATCACACAGACAGCAGTCACCATTGTGAAAACTTTTGCCTCCTGGGTTTGAAGGGCAGCCATGTACTTGGAGACTGACTATTGAAGGATGATGTAAATAAAACTGATTTTCACTGCACTGCTCTTCCTCACTCCCATAGCTATTCTTAAGTGTTGAAAGACTGAATAGGGAAGTATGGTGAACCAAGTAATTATGTGTGATGGTTCTATTATATTTTAATTTCAGATGGCTTTTGCTTGTTTTAAATTAAGTTTAATTTTAAATTACATGTGAATAATTGAGTTAGCTGTACTTTTATTGCTATGTTATTAAAAATTGAAAAAAAAAATCCTAGAAATTAAAATGACAGTTTCTGACATATTATAATACTCTATTTCAGTGTAAATACAATTTTAATATTAATTTTTTAAAGATTATCTTCTCCCCATGAGCTCAATGGCACCGAATCAAGACGCAAAATGCTTGAAATCAAGTGGCATTTGGCAGCAAGAACTCGTATTTAATTTTTTTTTTCAGAATCACTAGTGTCCAGTTGCAAGCTAAGAACATTTTCCTCCTTCCTTCAGTGGGACAATTCTTAGGAACACTGAGATGCATATTGGAACACAAACATTCTATGTGCAACTCTGAAACCCTGCAGCATCCCAAAGAGTTTGGCTACTTTTTTATACCCAAACCTAAGCAAGTGACTCTGATAACATCTGAAAGGGAAGGCAACCACAGAGTGATGTGCAGGACCCAGAGAAAGTATTTCCCTTTGGGCACACTGTAACCTTGACTGCCACCATTTTTCACAAACCATGCAATGGTGAAATTAGTAAAGGGAACCTTGATGCTAAGCCATGTCTTTGTTCCCAAGCACAAAACTGCACAGAGGGTAAAACACCAAGCAAAGCACTGCAGAGTTTTTCATCACTTTGCCTCCTGGGGCAGATTAAACTCAGAAGAGAGGAGATGTGAGCTGAAGAGGAGGGAAATGTGGATAACCTGGGGAGAGTGGGACCTCCCATTTTTTGCCTAAGGGAAGTCTTAGAAAATCCCTTATAACACAGCATAAAAAGTGCTAGAGAGAAACAATGTCTACAATGTAAGTTTCTACTTCTCAGTTCTTTAAACTGCCTGAGTATTTGTCTATCAGTCTTAGCAGGGGCAGACAGGCAGGTATTTTTGCTTTTTCACATTAGAGAGAGGAAATTAGAAATGCTTTGATTGGAGAGCTGCCCCTTATGGCCCCATCTCCAAGCCAGGCTGGCAGCTTTGCTCCCTCTCTCACTGTGCCATAACTGTACTGTGTGCAGGGGGTGAAGGTCTCTTCCACCTCTCCTACAATATGCATTTTAGCTCTAGCAATGTTCTTGCTGTATTTTATGCCAGCTTTCATAAAAGAATACTCTTCAACATTTAACAGCAAGCATCATGTATATTCTTCCCCAAAACAGAATTTATGTATTTTAAATAAACAACAATTATTAAACCAGACCAGATTTTTTTTTAAAAAGCATTAGGAAAAAAACCCAAAAAAACAGCGCTACTTTCTATTAAAAAGTTTTCAGTAAAAAATAGCAACAAATGTAATTGCTTGCAGATTTTTATTCTGCAGAATAAATGAAAAATTAGACTTCCTAATTTAGGAAAAAAACCAAAAACAACTCCAAGCATTTTATTTGGCTGACCAAATTATTTTTTCGAGTATACAAAAGATAATACAGTGTGCAAATTCAATGTCTCTGGAGTTGCTGTGAGGCTATGATGACATTTTCTTCATAGTATTTATTTTGTTTATTTAGACCTCAAAAGTCATCCTGTCAACTTAAATCCTCAGTCTAAAATTATTCACTTTTTTCATAAGATGGTCTAAAAATGAGGAATTGGAGGGAAAAAAATAATTTATCTTTATTTCAATAAATTCTTTCAAGTCCTGCTATGTGCCATCCCTGTCTCTAAGTGACACACATTTGTCTGTGATGCAGAGAACTAAATGCTCTTTCATGTGGCATTAATTCAAGAGTGGATAATGATTATTTAGGGAAAGGAAAATGTGGCTCACACTCTTGCCAGCTATACTTCCAAAACCAGCAGGTCACCATCCTGGGAAGACATGTAGAGCATGGGATATAATAACACAGAAGAAAATCCTCCTTCCTCAATAAGCCCTCAAAGACAACTGCTAAGCTGCTGATCATGGACCTATTGATTTGGACCCTACTGAAGGCCTGTCAATTCATTTCCAATGGACTCAGCAGGGTGATGCATAACTAGGTCAAAATTAATCACTTGCTGACGGCAAGAATCACTGATACAGATTCATACAGCTGTCTGGTTACTCATGCTTTTTCATGCTACCATCTCAGGCAAAACTACAAATAAGCCTTGCTGACACTCTGCAGAAAAAAGCCCAAACAAACAGCATCTCTCTGGAATAACTACATTTCAACTCTTTTAACTCTGCTTAGATTTGCTGTGGCAAGGGTCAGAGTGAGATACTAACTACTGTCAGCAAACAGATTCACACAGATGCAGGAAGACAAGCAAAAAACCATGCATAAGACCTCAGCTTCTCCAATTTCATGGGAAATTTTTTTCCATAAAGCTCTCAAAAGAATCAGAAATGCTGAGGGTCTGCTCAATGGCAGCAGTCTCACAGACAGGCAGACCAGCATTTGTACCGTCCATTCTAAAAGGACAGTACCAGGCTGGTGAGCAAAGCATGCATCATAATTGTGCTCTCACACTACTAACAAAAAAGGTAAAGCCAAAGGCTAAGCCTTGAGTGCAGGTTTCTGGGGGAAATGATCCACAACTGTATATCTTTTGTTAAGTTTTAATTAATTTCTGTTGATAAGCAATGCTATAATGTCAAAGCATTGAAAAAATACATTAACCTTTTGGTGATTTGCAGTTTTCATTATATATATTAAATATTTTTAGATTTTTTTTTTTTTACTTTGCTCTTATCTATACAGTTAAAAACATTCAAAAATCGTCATCATCCTAAAAGAAGACTCTTCCCTTTTTGAAAACAGGACTTTGTAAAATTTTTTGTAATTTTTCCCACAGTAGAGTTCATTAAATAGAAAAATACTACTGTAGTACCTTATGCAAATGATAGTTGATCAAACAATAATAATAATGTTATCATACAACTCTGAGTCAGCAGAGTTTATTTTCTGCTCTTTCTGGAGAAATGAGCATTTCAGAGCAGCAGGATGCACGGAGGTGGACCTGCCCTCAGCCTGCACAGAAGGCTCCTGCGCACATACGCGATTGCCTTGGAGCGAGGGGCTCGCGGCGCTCCGTCCCTGACAGCCACGAGCAGAGCCTAAGGATGCGTGCTCTGAGGGAGGCTCCTTGCAAAGCATCTTCTTGACTGTGACTAATGCCTCGATTCGGTAACACCTACAACACGCACGTTTGAGGAGGTCACACGGAATATATTGTTCCACTTCCCATGTTTAAGTATTCGTTTAGCTGAGCATTAGATGTAGTGATCACCGTTTGCATTCAATCAGAAATAATTCTTGTACAATCCCCCAGAAGCAGATTTAAGCAGAAGAATAGGACATGACTACAAATTCAAATGTTCGACATTGAAACAAAACTGCTTATGATTTTTTATATGCTGACTCTCCTGGGTATGTGTTTGTGGTATGTGTGGTATGGTTTGTGAAGTAACGTTGTATTGTATCTCACTTAACAGACTGTATTATCAAGAGAGAATGATTATGCCAGAAACTGCCTATAAGCTGATGTAAGCACATGGGCTCCCATCAAACCATCCTGGAGAAGCAAGTATGGACACCTACAAATGCTTTTGGACATCAGGCACTACAGCATTTGGAGACCTCTCAACTGAAATATTTTGAAGCAACAGAAATGGACACAACCCTATCCCACATCTGCCCATAGTATGATGAGCTAAAGCATTTTTGTATTTTGCTTTTAGCTGCGAGCTCAGTGAGAGGCCAGGCTCCCTAAGCCATGGTGCCATGTGCACACCAGGGCATGTAACAATTGAAGACTTGGTACCAACATGCTTAAGATGAAGAAAAAAAGCAGTAACATTGAGAACTAAAATTTTCTGGCATTATGAAGAAGCTGGTCTGTATCTCCTGAGTAATCAAAATGGAGTAAATAGAAAAAACAATACTCCTTAAATTCTGAGGGGGAAAGCTTTCCCAGTCTTAAAAACACTAGCAGAATTCATGCAATATCTACACTTACTATTGCTAGAATGTTTTATCACCATAATTAACTTTGGCACATACAGAACAATAATTACTGCATCAAACTCAAGAAGATTTCTGAGACAGTTAACACTGACTAAAACCTGATACGATGGGCAACAAGAATGTCACATATTGCAAGAGGAACCCCAAATGCTTATGATCATTAAAACTTGGAAATGGCAGAAGGAGAGAGCACGTAACCTAGGTCTTTTGAGTCCAGTCATGCTGGATAGTCAGTCTTACGGGGCAGTATAAGAAACTTCACTGTAACAAGAAACAGTGATTGTGTTTGGGAAGGTTTGGGCACTGCTGACAGAAATAGCAGCATGAAGGAATGACAAGCAGAACCTTGGGGAATAAACGCAGCTTAGCTGTCAAACAGAGCACTGCCAAGAACCCACTGTGCAAATAAGTAGTACTGAATAGCTACAGAAAGCACTGATAATCAGACACAGTAATTATTTCATCTCATCTCACAGGAGATGAACAATGGTGAATCTCCTAATCCAACACTTCCTTCTGAAACCTTCTATCTCAGTATTCTATCTACTGCCTCCATTAGTCCTGAAATGCTCCATGTTGTATTTGTATTTGACTTTTTTTCAAAGCTAGAATACTTACAAAAAATAAATAAGACAAGCAGAATCATAAGCTACTACATGATGGCTAGGAGATCTCTGTAAGTCCTGGCCAATTTCAGATGATTTTTGCATGAAAAAATGTTAGTTTCCCCTGAAGCAGGAAATAGTTTGTGACTGCACTTGGATAAAGCCGAACCTCCAAACTCTTCAGGTACTATCCAGAATATCCCCATTTTTCAGTAATTCCTGAAAAAGAACAGAACTCTAATCTTGACTGTGGTAGGATGAGAACTTCCTCTCAGTAGGAGGCTGCCAGCTAACTGAAACACCAGCTGTCTTCTAAGAGATGAAGAAGGTCAGAGACAGAAGAGAAAAAGAAGCAGATGGGTGAGTGATGAGGTTTCTTGGCTTTCATTCTTTTCTTTAATTCTGAGGATGATTATAGTTAAGGTAAAAGCACTAAGTCTGCACTGCTGAGCAGGCCCTGGCAAGGATCACTCAAGGATCACTGCAACTGCAGCTCATTTGACTGCATGGGCACCCATGCAGAACAGCTAAACCAACTGCATGCACCACAATGAAGCAGATGTGTCCTGCAAACAGTGAGCTAACCTTGTCACTAAGCAGCAGCTCAATTCGGAGTGTCACAAAAACTTATGCCCATATAAGTGCACTTCAAATGTAGCTAGACCTCCACCAGAACTCAGTGGCAGCACAGTGAGCATGCCAGGAGCACTTGTTCTACATGGAGAAAGCACTGGAATAGCAAGTAGCAGACCTGGAAACAGCAAAGTGATGCGCTTCCAGGTCTGCATGATGCATCATGGGCTTACTCATTTACAGGTGAATTTATTACAAAATCGCCATGAGCAGGGTCCTATCTGGCAGGCATTTCTAATGAAGTCATTCCTTAATGCAGGAGTTTTTAATTGCTTGATCCCAGATACCTATACAGTTACTGTTTTTTAGTGCCAGTCACACGCTTGCATTGCTTCCCACTTGCACTGCCTTTGCCCCTGATAAGTTCAGACAGGATTTGTGCTACTCCCAGTAGCTAATTTTTGACAGTATCCTGTCATTAATATTGGTACAGGAACTTGTAGACTCCAAATAAGGAAAAGAAAAGTTTTAAAATGAGCAAAATGTAAATCTATGTGCACTCAGAATATTGAACTGGAATAGTCCTAACTGAAATGTAGTGAAACATAACAACATGTCTCCAAACGAGAGAGGCAAATAGCACGCAAATTATTTAGCATCACTCTCTCTCCAGAACAAATGATGTAAAATAAGAAGGGAGTTAAGAAGCATAGACTAATTCAAGAATTCTTGTAGCAATGGTAGTTAATTGAGAATACCTAACTTAATTTAGACCTTAGTTCCCTGAAGTACTGTTCTTAATGCCTTTTATTTAACAGGGCCCATCTTCTAACTAAAACTTTAGATTAAACAAAAAAAATTACATTAAAAAAAGGTAAAAATATCCATAGAAACTCAAAACCTAAAGCACTCAAATGTAAGTAACTTCATCAATTTTTTGCTAATTAAATTTTAAATTTTCTGGAAGTGGAAACAGAAGAAAGCATTTCCAAGCAATTAGCAAAGTCTTCACCTTATCGTCCTTGCACCATATCCTCTCCATCTGAAAAGGAAAATGGCTTTGCAACACAGACAAAGATGACATCTCAGCAAGTGGTATCACTTTGTGGTCAGTCCCCAGCGTAATTAAAACTAATCTCTAGAGAGAAGCTGCATGACAGCAAACAGCTACTGTCTACTGCCATAAGAATATGGGTTCCAAAGGAAAGAAGCTCATTCATAATAGAGTCCTGGGCAGTTCAAAAATGGCAGTGGTTATCCACAAGCAGAGCAAACATTACTCCGGCCACCATCCTCCCACACTCTCCCATAGCTTTCCCCACAACATCTCAAACTAGGCCAAGTCTCAGAAAAGAACATTGTTGATCATGAGTTCTCAAACCAGGTTCTCAAACCAGGTAGAAACATGAAGTTAAAATGAATTCTTTATCGCCAGAAAAAAAATTTAAATTTCAATATCCAGAGAATGTATACGTATTACCTATGACGGCTTTTGAGCCACAGAAATGGTTTCTATTTCATGAGAGCCTAGCACGTAAAGAAAACATGTTCTTATTAATGTGGTATGTTCCAGGCCAGATGACAGCTTGTTTTGTTTTGACATTTTACAGAAAGTTTACTGAATGGATTATTTTGAAGATACACATTCATCATCTAAATGCTTGTTCAAGCAAATGAGACTCTGACCTCCTTATGACAAAGTATCAGCAGAAGTAGCTTAGACATATTTGGTTCAAAAAGGCATGTTAGATCATTCTGAAAAGAAATCTTCCTTCCCTTCAAGGAAAGGAATAAAAAACCCAGGACTAGCAGCAATTCTTACTAAAGAACAACTTCCACCACGTTCAAGTGAATAAGACAGATTGGGAAAACCTTCTTATGTTGAACATGAAAAAAATTATCAGAATTACTCTGGAATGCCATCTTCAAATATGGGCATAACCCAATGGATTTTAATGAATTATGACAGACACCGTCATTAGAAAAGCAAGCCTTCCTTTAAACTTTGCATTACTAGTTCAAAACTTCCCCTTGGTAAAAATGTCTAAAATATTTTCTGTATTTGGTTATGTTATCTATTTCAGTAGTTTTTCACTCATAAAATTAGTCAGACAATCTTACCTAACATATAGTACAACACCATCTCCAAAAAATATAAATGGTTATCACAGTAAACTAAAATAAATGTTATTGTGATACTTATGCAAAAAGTCTTGGCATAGCCAGGAGACTCTCACTAGCATGTTCTAGTCTAAAACCCCCTGTGCTCTGACAAGAGATCATGGGGTTAGTGCAGTTACTCTATGGCCCTTGCTACTCTCACTTCCAAGTGGGCAGCCTGTCCTGGGGCTAGCATGTGTCTGATCACAGAATCCCCACAGCTGACCCAGAAGGGACTGCATCCTATGCTCTACACCAGACTGAGGATATACCACAAACAGATAGGATAAATGCCACTTGTACCGGAATTGCAAAGCCCCTTGGGCCAGGGGTTAGACATTCTTTCTAAGCATTCTAAGATTCTATGTTCTGTGGACTATCAGGCAGAGTATTAATAACATTTACTTGAGGAACACAAGGGGAGATGGTCTCAGATCTACTCCATGGGCTTAGCAGCAGCTACACCAGTGAAATGATGACTTGAAGAGTCTCCCAAGGGGTGTCACTGAATTTAATACCTTTCTACTTTCTCTTTCACTGACATGTTTCTTTATTTTAAATCTGATTACCTCAGCACTCTTGTCAGGATAGTTTGTGATCATCCCTCCAGGAAAGCCACGTTTTATTGAATTGTTTTTTAAGAAGTCAGATATTACCTTTTCTAAAGGGCTTTCTACTCTGGGTATGCTGATCGTGGGCATCTGGGTCAGATTATCCAGATGAGAATGCTCATGTTCTGGCTGACGTCCTCTGAAGTTATTTACCACACAAACAACCTAGAAGGGATTTGAAGATAAACAGAATACCTAAGGAACAACTCATTTTTTCAAGCTTTGATCCTGACAATTATCATTAGGCAGAAATTACACCAACTTTAGTCACAGCTTTACAGCAGAAACACTGAAATGTGAAGTTCATGTTTTACAGAAAATCCTTAATTAATATTTCAAGACAAATGACTTTCAAGCGATTTATTGGTACGTGCATCATTTGAGAACCAAAAAAAACTCTTATCTAAAAGATACTCCATTACTGAAGCTGCACAATAGGACACCAATTATTATCAGTCTCATGAAGAGATGTTTTGCAGCATCACGTGGCATTAACCTTAAATTCCTGGGAAGGCCAGCGCCATCTCAGTTTTGATCAGAAAATACTTTCTCAAATGAAGAGTAAGAAGGGGAATAAGAAGGCAAGGACCATGCCCAAGTCTGAATGTAACTTCAAATCTGCTGAGGGAAGCAGATTCCCACACAGGGACTTCAGATGTGATGTGTAACAGTTTGTGCTTCTACTAATTACAACACTCAGCTGAGCAGTAATGTTTGCCAACTGCATTTTCTTCAAAACACAACTAAATTTGATGTCATGCTACTGGACACCTTGTGTGGAAGGGAATCTTTGGAAATGCAGGCAGATGTATTAAAGGAGACTCGCAGCTACCCTTGCATGTCTCAAGGAGTGAAAACACCCACCCCAGCCATCCCTGGGAAGGTTCTCAGCCAAGCCATGCTTTCAGATCCAAGATCTTGAGACCAAGACCCTGTGATCCAATAGTCAAGCTCAAAAGTGTTTTCATGGAAAAATACTTCAAAGGTGTATTTAGCACTATTACAAGTTGCCAGGCAGACAAACCTATGGGCATTAAACAGCAGTGACTGTTCTATTCTATCGTCTTGCACTGCAGATATTAGTGAAGGTGATGAATAGATTGGAAATAGTTTTCTGACACAGACAGTAGTCATTGGCAACTGTGATTAACTATCTGGTTTTGGAACACAGCTCTAGAAAAAGAAAAGGCTAAACAAAGATTTTTTGACATAGAATAATATGAAATTTCAACATAAACCTGAACAACTATGAAATAAATTCATTAGAGTTATTGTAAAGCCAGAAAAATAAATGTTACCCTATTCTCTGATCAATGTGGGTACCACTATATTGAATTTAATACTTTATCCATGAAATCATAACAATGTGTTATTCTGAGGAGTATATACGTCCTGCAAGTGGGCCTTGCTGCATAAATTACTGTTTGAAATGCAACAATCTGGTTTATATGGAAGTCAAAAGAGACAACTGGATCGGTCCTTTTTTGACTTCACATTTCCGAGTGTATGTAAATACGACTAAGAAAACTGATGACTAATAAGCAAAACTAACAAACATGTCTTTTTTTATTTAGTTATCTGAAGGCTTTTTTAGAAATATAAACTTATACATTGATTTTTTTTCAAACAGAAGTGACACAGACACACACTTACCAAAAACACTGCTATAGATATTCCAATTACAAATCCTGCTATTACATCTGACCAGTGATTTCGATACTCTGCTACTCTGTTGATTCCAGTAAGGAAGGCCAAGCACATTAAACCCAAACACAGAACGGGTTTTGCAAGCCTTGTTCCTCTGGCTTTCACTGTGTTGGTGATATACATCTGAAATTTAGAAAGGAAGAAAGTGTAAGACTGATTAATAAAAGCTCTGTATTTTATTTGAATAGAATATGTGTATTTGGTGCTTTTTTCCTGGAGTGGGGGAGGGTGTAAAGAAATTAGGAAGTAGAGTACTAGATAAAGTCATCACATCCTTTTCCTAGGGATACAGAAAAAGAATCAGACCACACAGCAAAATTGCATTTTACATGAACCTGAAAAGCCTACAGAAAGCCAGACAAATTGGACAATCCTATCTGATTACTCTCAGTCTGTGTACTTATTTATGAATGCATAGAAACAGAGACTAATTTTTCACTGGGCAGTGTTGACAGTAACAGAAAAAATATTTACCCTGAAGTACTATTAGTACTATTACAAGCTGCCAGCCAGAATAAGAAAGGGAATACATAAAGACTTTTCTTTAATTTGCAAAAACCTTTCTTCTTATACACCACTTCTTAACGTGACTAATTAGTGATTTGTCAAAAATCGGTGAAAAGGTAAAAAAGTGGCAAAGAGCAGTGAAAACTGAACTAAATTCCAGCATCTATTTTTATAAATATAGTTTCAACCAGTGAATATAATAATAGTTTCAACCAATGCTGAACTAATACAACCCCATGCTTCACACAAACCAATTTAAATGCTGCAGGTTTTATGCATCAGACTGAGAAATCCATTTGTTCTGCTGCAGTCTAATTCTCCCTGTGCAATACTTAATTAAAAGCAGTGCCTGATAACAGAGCAACTCTTCTGCCCTAAGAGTGCATTAGTGACTACCAGGTTTAACCCAGAACTTTCCAAGCTCAGATGAGCCAATAGAAGAGATTAATACCAAATATTTGACTTCCCATTCTCTTGAATCTTAGCATTAAGACTGCTTGCAACGCCTCTCCTCTCCACCCCCCAAAAATTATACTTCAACAAGATTTTTGACAAAAGAAGTTTCTGCTCTTTGCGGAAGATATTTCTGTAATTAAACCACTAAATCCTAAATCTTTAAATTTTAAACAGGATCTAAGTTTTTACAAAGAAGAATGCCAGTATTTTCTATGGGGTTTCACTAGAAATTCCAAATTTGTAATGCCATCACTTTGGACTGAGAATGAAAACAGATGAGCCTGCATTGAAGAACCAGTACCACTTCTTTGGCCATCAAATGGGCAGTCCTTTGGGTTTGTTTGGGGATTTTTGTACTGTCTGAAACTTTGGTGGAATTTACCAGGGAATCAGTTTACAAAGTGTTGCAACAATCGAGCCAAGAAGCAGTTCAGAAAGTGTGGTTGTAGTTACCACAAATTAAGTGAAGAAGTAGTGGTCAGCGCTGGTCTAAAACAAGTAACATCTAACAGTATTTTTGTTCAAAACACTAGAGAGGATGGATGAAACAAAGCTTAATCTTAAAATAACATCAGAGAAGTCCAACACACAAACCTTCAGTGTACTTTATATGATGAACAGGAAATCAGTAGAAAGATTTCCACTAATTCAGACAAAGGAAAGGTGTGGAAAAAAGAGTTTTGGGGTTCATCTTTAAGCCACATGCTCCTCTCTTCTTCCTATACCGTTTCAGAAACAGTTGATTTTTTTTTCTGATTATTCTTTTATCTTAGCTCCTTGTACTTTTGCAGGCTGTCTTCAGTGAGTTACTCTTACCATGTGGAAAGGTGATAAGAGAACTGCAACTTTAATATCCAGCTTTTTAGCCCCACTGGTTTTCTCCAAGCTATAGCCAGTACTACATTGAATTCAGCAACCACCTGTTTTAGGGAGTCTCATTGTTCTACTGGATACTACCACCATTATCCACACTCACACTATGTGTTAGGGCAGCTGGTGCTACGAAAAACACTGGAATATTTTTAATACTCAATAGGAAAATCAAATTTCAAATACAGCTTGGGTAAAGTTGACATAAGGGAGTTAGCAGAAAGCTATCCTGCTTTTAATTCTGTATTGTGTTATATTAATTGAAATTACTTCTGAGAAGGAAAAGCTTGCTTGTTTAAGGCAAGTCACAGTGACTTATTTCATTTATCTATAACAACTGGTCATTGCCCAAGAAAATTATCTCAATTTTTAATAAGACAAAACATATTATAGTACAAATACTTGATTCTGCAGTACTTCAATCAAATTTTAACATTTCTAATTCAAAGCGGAACTGAAAAAATGTTCTGCATAAAATTCTCTGAATGTTTTTACAACCAAGCATGTCCTTCAAATCCCTACTCAAAGCACTGAGGAAAAGCAACCACAGATTCATGCTGTGCCTCACATGAGTAGAGACCTCCATTTGCCAAGTCCCCTCCTTATATGAGCAGTCATGGTTGTCATGCCCACTCATTATTCAAAATAACCTGAGGGTCCTGCCAGCATAGGTACCATATCTATCTTTTCTTTAAAGAACAGGTACTACTCATGTAAGGAATAGCATTACAATACAAGACAATCAATAAAACAGGCCAAACTCTCTTGAAACAAGAGACAAAAGGGCTGTATTTGCAAAACTCTATATAGATTCCTCCAAGGAAGGATTCATAGATACCCATTTTTAAAGTTGGCCTCTTGCAGCTCTAGTATAACATATTAACAGTCAACTACCTAATTTATATGAAGAATAAAATATGATTAATTTTCTTCTTGATTCTGGTGGAAAAACTATAAACCAGCACATTCAGTAAATGACAAAGAATAAAAAACCGGAAAAGATGACAGAACGTTTCACTCACTTTTAATTGATATAAAATGCAGTATCAACAAAGGAAAATAGCTCAGTGATTTAAAACATTAGTAGGAATGAATGACAGTATAACTTTTTACAGGGCTAAAGAGGTTTACTGAACAACTTTATCTCCGTTTCTTTTAAGAATAAAAACTAGGAGAGGAGTTTTCTAATGAAAAAAAACTTTTGCATTAGTCAACAGCAAGACCAGCAGCAGAGATTTTGTATGTAAGGTCAAGGATTGATACAGTAGCTAGCTTTAATATAGCAGGCTGCATATTCCCCTGCAACATCAGAACCACAGTGAATTTTCTCTCCAGGAACTTCTGCTATCACTGCTCCTTTTTCCTGAAATAAGATTTTAGTATTAAAAGATATAGAGCTGTCACCAGTAAGCAGACACAGGCAGAGAGTCATGTAAGGAGGTGGATTGTTACCTTATTGCACAATATAACAATATTTATTATGTTTTCAGAAAATCAAACATTTGACCTTCAGTCTTCAAGATAGTAGAAGTGAAGCTGTAAGAGTACCTCATAAATTGAAAGAAAACCTTTAATTTAAGTGGGTTTGAAATATGAATTTAAAAGAAATTATCACCATCACCACCAAAGACAAAGCTACCTGTGAAGTTTCTGATGTGACTGGCTCAGGCCACAGTGTAAGGAACAATGATACCCTTGGCATTTAGCTTGTACTGGTCTTGTACTGGCTTGTACTTCAAAAGTGTCAGATTGCAAGTCTCATGTGAAGTTTGTCCTAAATCTAGTACAAATAAAATAATTCCAAAACATGTTAAGAAAAGAACAGGAACTCTATGTAAAGTGCAGAACAAAGTGGATTCCTGGGCTATGCTGCAAGCTCTTTCTAGGCATCTTTCAGCTATCTTTAGGCCCACCCACTCCAACATCTAAGCACACAAACACACGTGTAACAGGTCTCAGAATCCCATTTTAGCTACATTGGAGCTACACATCAGGCTGGGTGCTCCAGCCAGGAGGGAAGCTAATTTTCCTTGCTGATTTCATCAGCCTGAGGCCTAGGGATGCAGGTAAGAAGATCCCTCCTGCGTCTGCTATTTCATTTCTCACTGATTTAGATGGATAGTGTTTGCAAACACTGGGAGACTGACAAAGATGACCCGTAAGGGAACAAGAAGACTGAAGAAATGGGTACAGGCACCCATCCCAGACAGCTCTTCAAACATAAATTATCTCACGTTTTCTTTTGCTTTTACAATGGGCTAGCATTAAAGAAATTATCTTGAACTATTTAAATAATATAAGAAATGTTATAAATGTTCTACCCAAGGAATTTTCAATACTCATCAGACCTACAAGAAAATAGACACTCATATCAAAAAGCTGAAAAAATAGTGGGCTGTTGTAGTCTATAAACAGGTTCAGTATTTAATTAGAATTCAGTTTGACAATCCAAAATCTTTTAAGCTTCCTTTGGTAATAATTAATGGGTCAAACTATTTCTAGAGTAAACCAAAGTCATATTCTCAAATCATCTGGGTCCTTCTGCTGTCCACTGAAGGTATCTTTTAGTATTTCTGAAGCCTCCTCCAGCTTTCTCTATATGTTTCGACCTAATTATTTATGTATGACATTAGACCAAAATTAGCTTTCAAAGTCAGGGGCTGGCTTAGCAAAAGGAAAAGAAAGCTCCACAATTCTGGACCTTACTATTAATTTTCCCACTATAAGCTCCCCATAGCTGTAACTGTAAAACAACTGGAGAAGGTAAGAGGTACCGAGACCATAAGGCACCTATTACAAAGGCTTTTCTTGAGGATCTGAATTGTAATGAAGAGCTGACTGACATGAAATTTATACAGATCTTCAGACAAATTCCTGGATCAAATGGTAATATTATTATTTGGTCTGAAAGAAACCAATGCACTCAATTTGTGAAGCTCATGACATATGTTTTATTATCGGTATTGAGGGATACTTGCTGCACCCGACACTGAAAAGAAATTCCACATTCCTAGCACTGTTCCTGAAAAGCAGCCAGAAGAACCCTTTAATTTCCTAACAAAAAATGGACAACAAAGTCAATTCAGTGAGGTGGCTCTGCTAGTCCTTTTCTTCCTAAACACTCCCTTAAGTCTGTCTGAGAAGCCTATCATGCCTTCACTAGCTGCCCATTTAGCTGGAATCTAACAGGCACTTTTAGACAAAGGACAGGCGAGACTACACCTACACTTATAACTGGATCAAGGAGTGCCTCTGAGGAGAATGTCACCACGCTGCCAGCACTGTTACCCAGACTGTCTTGCTGTCTTTTCCCAGTGACTTAGAAACATGCTGAACAGCAAAATCAATGCAGCAAAATGCCAGGAGCAAGAGCCTTGCAGAAAACATGATCATGGGCCAAAGAAAAGTTCTGCAGATAAGAAAAAATTATTTGTAGGCTTTACAATCTGCTAGTCCTGTGTGAAGTCATGGTTGAGGCCAAGGGTTCAGAGTACAAAGCAACAAAAGCTGCCTACAGACTGTGTCAACTATCAAGACATGAAGCCTGTTTCTCTATCATTTGAAACCCAAAGCAAGCGTGAAATGTGTGCAGTAACACGAAGTTCAAACACTATCTTACCCAACTGCTTTTGTGCAATGTAATAACGACAACAAAAAAAGGGCAAAACTTAATAGAATTAAAATTTCCCTTAAACTACAGCTAGCCATGACCAATCCCCTAGGTCTGCACTACCAAATGATAATTGTTAGTCACAAGTCTTAAATTTAAATCTATGAGATTAGGCTGACTAAATCTTCATATATTACTTTGGAATCCTAACAAAAAAAGACTCATGACTTCTACTTCCTGTGTCTCAATTGTAGAAAACATACTAAGTATGTGCAGGCTTGGCTGCTTCAAAATTTACCTCTAATTGTCCAGGCTATATCAGCTTATGTATATCAAAATGTGTCTTATACAATTATATACTGTTTAATAAAGCTGCAGTGTTTGCCTTAATATCTACGTAACAAATATTGTTCCAGCTGGGTGAATTCCAATGCTGGTAAGAAATGAAAGTAGACGCAGTCAACCTATTAACCCAACTCAACCAGAAACAAACAAAGAAACAAAAAGATCTCCAAAAAGATCAGAGCAGACACCTAAGGAAAAATCCAGGCACCAGCCAGATTAATTAGAGATTTCAGAACAGATTTACAGTAGGTTCATTTCAAAAATACTGGTACACTGGGAAGAATAAACCTGAAAGTCTGAAGAAGAAAGGCGATGCATCTGTGTTTGGAGCAGGGTAGAGAGAACTGCCATTCAATATTTCCATTGCTAAATCTCTCTTGATAGGTACTGGAAGTAATGGAGGCAAACACTACAAAGCTCTAAATACTAGCAAAACAGCTGTTTGAAAATGACTGCACTTTCAAGCAGGAGGGGAATTCTGAGTTACCATAGCAGCCACCCACTCTCAAAAGGGAGAAAAGGGGGAAAATGGAAGACTCAAGAACTTAGATGAAAAAAGAAGCTATTGTTAACAAGACAATATGCACAGATGCTAGGCGATAAGGATGTGGCTGCACTTAAATGGAATGAGATAGGGGAATTATTAGATAAAGCATAGGTTTTTTTTCTAAATTAGTTGATTCGTGAAAAATCACACAAGCATTTACTTCATCACCTCGGAGAGCAAGGACCCTTGGGTCAGCTCTTTGTGTGTTTTTTTTTTTTTTTTTCCTTTAAGCTGGTTTTATTTTGTGCCCAGCTGGCTGAAATAACCAGGGAGGATTCCATAACAATCTCTCCCTCTCTCCAAAAATTTCTGTTAACCAAAAAGAAAGAACATATTGTACCAAAGATTATATGCTAATGAAAAAGTGAGTAATATATGGAGGTCCTTATGTTCATGCTCTCAGTAACTATTGTAGCATGGCTCATAGAAAGAGTAGGCTACTGTTTTAAATCTTCTACTCCAGTGAACAGTGATGAGAAAATTGTTATTTAGGGCCAACTATCCTGATAAACATCATGGCAGTGTAAGGACATGACCCCAAATATTGAAACATTGATTTTTTTTTTTTTTTCCCCTTGGAGTGTAATAAACAGTATCTTTAGCTTCAGCCACACTTAGAATTTAAGGAAAAAAAAAAAAAAACCACCAAAACAGCGAACCTGACAATATTGTAACAAGTAGCTACTACAGGAACTCAGAAGTCTGAGAGTAGTTAATAATGCTATAGTTAAATAATACCAGTTTCAAGCACCATGCAGGAGTAATGACATAGGATATATTCATTTCTATAGTTACTGAAAGAGCAAATAGTAATAAAATGGATCTCAGCAGCTTTAATTTTTTTGTCTTGCTAACTGTATATTGACCACAGACAAGGTTTGCATAGAGTATTCTTGCTCATGTCAAAAGCTACTTATATTAGGTATTAAACCTTACTGATGTCTCCTTTTTGTTTTTAAAATGTATTCATACTATTTTACTTCCTGCTTTGCAGTAGCTGAATAGCTGGTTTCCTAGTTACTCCGATTCTTGGCAACAGTAGAAATCAAACTTTACAGATGGATGAGAAATATAGGAGTAATTAAAATAAAAAATTCTGAGTATTTTCTAAAATAGCTTGCATCAGATTTAGAATGTTTCATCCTTAGATATCTCCCCAAATAAAGACAATACTAGAAGAAGACTTGTACTTGCCTCAAGTTAGAATAAAATATTATTGTTCATCTCTTATTTGCAAACACTTGCCTGTGCTAACTGATGATCAACATCTCTTTAACAGACATCGCTCACAAGGAACCTGTAAATGTTACCATCAGTGCTGCAGATCTTAAGCAACTGGTTCTAAAACCCTGTGTAGAAGCACTGAGTTGACATATCGAGGCTGGGATCTTTGCCATGTTGTCAAGTATCAGCTTCTAGATCAGTTAAAAGCTGGCTTAATTGGCATGTGCTCAAAAGCAATACACACTCACACACGTGTATCTACATGTGCATATATACACATACATACACCTATGGGCAGGCCACTGTCCAAACACTGAGGGAATGTAAGGGCTTACTCCTGCAATGACCACAAAGCTCCACACACCTGCCTAGTTTCCCCCTGACACTGTGAAGGCAGCCCTGGGCTCATCCAAAGGGCTGCACAGGGCTGTGAGTACCAGCAAAGGTCAGGTAAGATACTCCCACACTCCTCTGCTGGGGAGAACTTGTCCCCAGCAAAAGAACAAGATGTGCTTGCTCCTGTTTAAGACTAGAATGATACGCACTCCAAACTACGCCAAAGCTACTTGAGTGAGACTAAATGGTGACTCTTCCTCTCCCTGCCCCTCCACACCCTATACAACAGCTCTGATCCAGGCAGTCAATGCCAGGTTTTATCCCAGCGCTGTTCATCACTCCCTGTAAAAGAGAGGAGAGAGGGAAAAAAGGGTGCATTGTCTTGTAGCCCACTTTATTGCGCAATAAGAGCCAAACTGACTTTGCATGAGGTACATATAAATACCAATTCTGATACCAAAAGACACACAGGGGTGTTGAGAAACGTGCAGGGATCAGACATACATATAGCTCACCCTTCTTTTTCACCTCACCAAAGAATATGGCCATGTGTGAGTCTATTGATCTGCACTGGGTTAAAAGACAGAGAGGTACCACTTCCAGTCAGAGGAAATCCTTACCCTTACTCCTTAGCACCCAGCAAAGGATTGTCCCACACACCCTGGAAATGGGGAAAAGTAAACCAAGGAACTGGGTATCCTAAATCCATAAATGATAACCTTTATGGACAACTTGTCCTTTCTTAGCATTGTCTTGGCTTTCAAGGCTCAGAAACCACAACACCTTGTCAGAATTAAGCCAAATGAATCTTTCTCACAGTAACTCACAGAAGGTTTGCATGCAGAAAATCAGCCAATTTTGGGCCTTATCTTCTGCCCATTCCTCCCTCCTCCCCCTCACAGTGCCAGCCATTTGCTCTCAAAAGTATAGTGATATTAAATAATATAATATACTTACAGCCAGATACATAGCTGCATATATGCTTAGCGCTGCTTCTTTGGATGGGAAAGTCTTTCTGGCTTTCATGATAAGGTCTGGATTTCCAGTACAGGCATGTACGCTACTGATGAATTGGGTATACTGTTTACATCCAAGTGCTGTATAGTTGGGTTTACAAAGTGCAAGAAAATGGGGTGCAAGATTCCCTGTTACTACTTGTCCAGCATTTACAAAGATGTCCGTAGCAAACAGTCCAAATGCATAAATTCCTAAAGAGGGAAACAAAGAGTTAAATTTCCTGACAGTTTATAGTATTTATCACAGCAGTAGACCAGCTTCTTCCGTTCAATAACAGGAAAAATCCTCCCATGTACTGTACCCTGAAGACTACGGCTCATGCTGGAGATGGTATTTTCCTACAAACTGCAGCAGCAACACTGCACATACCTGATGCCTCTCCCATCTTTCATAGGAACACTCACCCCTTGTGCAAGTAGCCTGCTTTCCTAGGCCCCACAGCCATGCATATCCCCTGTTTGGGGTAGCTGGCTTTACTGGTACCTAACTTTTGCCCATGTTCACTAAACAGAAGTGACAGAGGGAAATTCTTCACCCAATAAATCTGCTTGAAAACCAAGGTCAGATCCTGATGGAGAAGTAACTTGTGAAGTCATAACACACACTGAAAAAACCTTTCCCCCCCCACTTGCAGCTGTAAAGAATCTAAAGTAGTGAATAATTCAATAATGCCATGCACCAGTTGTCTTCATCTGCCTGCTATTGGGTAAATCTCCATGCATGGCATATTAATCACAACATCAACAAAGTGAGCTAAAGATTTATATATTTGAGGAACTACTTATGCTAAAGAGTTTTTTTAATCAGACATATCAGCAAAGCATTAAGTTCATATACTCATTCATTAGAACGTAAATGCATGTATCTGATTACTTAAAAAGATTTCTGCCATTCTGAGGTCTCTCTCTATCCTGGTGTAAATAGAAATTGAGCTCTGGAAGAACATGCAAACACAGTAGCCTGACTGACAAGCCAAGCCAGTGGATGCTTGTTCCAATTCTACCTGAGCTATAGATTTCCCCCTGTATTTCCATGGGTAAATCACCTTACCTTTCCCATACTCCACTGTGAATATGGGTGAGTTCTGGAAAATCCCAGTTTCATGGGGAATTATGAGGACTTAAATGGATCAACATCACAGCAAACATAAATACAGAGTTTATTCCACAGAAACATACAGTTATAAAGGTCAGGATTTTTCTTAGCAAAGCTAGAGGACCAAGGCTGATTTCTGGGATCCTGCTGGTCAGCAATGTCACACTGATGTTAATTCCTCCCAAGATGCTAGACTCTGCTGAGCAGCACATTGCAGCATATTGTGCCTGGCCATGTCATTTCACAGAAGGACCTTCCAGCCAGTCCCGAGGGTAGGCACTGCACAACACAGGTGGACACATCACTCTGGGGGAACATAATGGGTAGCAATGCCTCATCTGCTGGAACAGCAGAGAAGCCTTTGTCCACTCCTGTCACCCCTATCTAATTTTTTTTTTTTTTTTGCTTCTGTGAGGAAAGAAAGGATGAGGAAGAAAACTCAGGCACTGATTACACAGAGAGTAAGCTGGAGTGGGAGGAGCTCCTCATCATCACTCTGCACCTCCACCAAACCTATACAAGACATTTTGCTTACAGGGAGCAATCGCGCTCTGGGAAGGCAGGCACAGTTGCTACACAAACACTGCAAATACAGACAGCTGCACATGCCCTCCCTCCCCGAGACTGGGGCACACAGCAGGATTAGCTGCCCCGAGGCTTCATTCCTCCAGCTGTTTCCTTCAGATGCAGCCATGAGAGAGAAGCAAACAGCAGAACTGAGCCCTGCTATGGCATCCCTACATGTATTAAAAAGCAGCATCTGGAAATGTCCAATACACATTTGGAGTGGTGGGACTTCCCCCTCTAAACACATTTAGAATGAACTAAACAGAAAATATGACATCTCATAGCTACTAAAGTCAATGGGGGAGTTTCAGCTAAAAGCAATGTAGCATGGACTTTGAACAGTTTTCTGCTAGAGACTATAATACAATATCCAAATTAAGAAAGCAGCCAAATTGGCTTGGCTTCAAACACAAATTTATATCCCAATCTCCTCAATTTTGGGGTGTGTGTGTGTTTACTATCAGCTATAGATATGGCACAAGGACACCACCTTTTTCCACTTCACCCCACTTCAGGCCTGCTCGTTGCTTTTCCCCTCAAGTGATCCCAGTTTTTTTCTACTTTGACTGCTGTTTCTGCAACTGTTTTTTAATCCAAACTTCCAAAAAGCTTCATTTGCTACCTAAAAGGAAAACTGCACCTGAATTAAGACTACACACTAAACATTACACAGTTATCTGAATATTTTCCCCAGGTCAAAATTAAGACATAAGTGATCACTCTCACCATTCAGAAAATGAAAGCAGTAATTTTGCTCATACCAAGGAATCGGATGGTCCTGCGCACCAGTGGATTTATATAGCAACAGTCTCCAGTTAATATTGTTTTCTCTTGGTTTTCAAAATCCTTTGTAGCTAACTGTAGACAAAAGACTGCAGTTTCTCCAACGATAATCTTAGGGGAGGAGAAAAAAGGGGAGAGAAATGGTGCATCAGATTACAGCAAGTAAAATACACTAATATTACAGAGACAGACATCTCATCTTAAAGAAACAAGACCAAACCAGCACAAAAGGTAGCATAAGTGAATCAAGTTCTGTACATTAATCTTCTTATGAGGGATATATGCCTTATGGCTTGCTTTACTTTATTTGCCTTAGAAGAGAATAAATTATTACCACCAGATTTGTAGTCAATATAACATAACCTAGTTTTCAGGATGAGGGGAAAGAGAAAGATCTATTAGTTCAAGAACCACAGATCACATAATGCCCAAGATCTGGACCAAAGTAAAGGCCTAATCCTGCAAGATGCTGAATATTTCAGCTCCCACATGGGATTCACTGACACTCAGCACTTTGCAGGGTTGAGTGTTAAATTTTGGACTATGATAGAGAGAAAGGGGAAAAAAAAATCCTAATAGAGCTCTTGTTCACATCAGAGGTTTGGTTTGCCAGGATTACTTAACAGGGTTTGATTCACATTTTGCTATCTAAATTTATCAAGTCTGGCTTTAGCTCTATTCCTCATGCTTGAACAAAGTGTCACCACTGATATTTTAACATTAAGAATGGCCTGTTACACATTCACTCCACCAAAATAAATGAAGTTCTCAATGTCTATATATCATTCACATTATGGCTGGCAAGAAAGCATAAAAATCACCAAATGAGAAAAAATATATTTTCAATCTAAAATATCTTCTCTAGCTTATGTATTTACCTGTAAAACAAAGCATGACCTTTAACTTACTCACTACAATTATGGATTGAGACTTGATAGCCAAAGCCAAGACTTTAAGCAGATATATGATATGAAGCTTTATGGCAGGGATAATTTAAAAGCAGAGCAGAAAGGTCACAAACTGACCACTGGATTCTAACCTTGATTCACTGTGGGACTCACAGGCAAGGCCCTTTCACTCCTCTACATGAAAAACTTAAAGCTTATTGACAGGTACCTCACACTTTGATCAACAAGAATGAAGACTACCAAAGTGAAATCTTAATACTCAACAAATACAAGCAATAATGCTATCAAATCTGATTAATTGCCGAGATTTTTCTAAACCTTTGCCCTAACAGGAAAATAGAATTCTTTTCATATATCAAAATAGGTCTGAACAGTTCTACAAAATAAATAAAATGATCTGTGGGGACTGGCCCATGTGCATATTTTGTTGTCAACAGGAAGGATGCAATTAATGACATTCATAGCTGTTTGTACATTATGCAGATACCCTTGGGCTAAATTGTGGAGGAAAGTGCTACCTATAAGTAATGTGGCACAAGTAGCAAAAATAACTCTGGAGGCAAGTATGTAAAAAGCAAAATTTAATACGCCACCAAAATAGTCATTATCTATTACTTTAGACTGGATTCAGATCCTAGTGGAATTTTTATATAAAACAGAAATTTCAATACAAATACCATCTCTCTGTTGTGATGCAAGCAAACTTCCATCCCAGTAAAGTACAATTTCTTCATCTATAATTAGTAACATGAAAAATAATTCAACCTTGAATTCAAGATCATCCAATTTATGAGAAGAATTCAACCCAATGATCCCTATAGCTCTCATGAAAAAAAAAATCAAAATTATCAGTTTTAATGTGATTCATAAAGGCGAGAACAGAAACACTAATACTGTGAGTCACAGTAATGCTTTTCTTTCCTCTCAAGGACTTGGCAACCTGAGTAGAGTCAGATTCTGTATTTAATTCTTTCTGCTAAACTCAATAGATTTCAGTAAAATTTTCACAGATTTTGAAACTCCAGGAAAGAGCAGAATTCAGCACAAAGGAAGCATCTGTGAGATACAGTGCTCAACCTTTTGCAAGAACACCCAGACTGCCAGCAAGCTCAACTCTCCAGCTCTGAGCAGAGACTGAATCTGCTGATCTAAGAATAAAGGTTGTCTTCTTGCCTGGTAGGGAAGCTGGCGTTTACTAAAGAGAGAACTGCTTGTTCAGTTATAGGAAAGGAGATTCTCACTTCCAGCAATGTCTTCATCGGCTGCATCTAGATCTTTGCTGCTGCCAAGAGTTTTTCCTTGTTACATTTCCTGTCTTTGATGGTGACCTGTATGAAGAAAACCCTCTGTTCCAAGAATAGCAGCATTCAAGTTCTTAGCTGAACAAGAATACTCTAAGGGTGGGCACGTAGGTGCAAAGGCCAGAAGGACGTGGAATTCGGCTGAAGACAAAACTTCTGCTACAGAAGGCCTTGTGCTCTACTGTCAGAAGTAATAGGAGTCATTGAGCACACAAGGCATTCATCTCTATGCTTCCCTGAATTCGCTTCGATAGAATCCTTCTAGAATTTGGCAATAAATACAGCTTCTTTATTTTTCTGTACTGGCAGCTCAGCTAAAGCTGTTCTCCTTCCTCCATCCTTCAGCACAAGCACTGCTCATCTTAATAATCAGCCTATTGATGTTTCAGAAATGGAAGAAAAAATCCTTTTCAATCTCAATAAATCCCAGGAGAAATTCTTCTTCCCAGTGCAATTCCTTCCCCTTCTCTCCAGCATCACTGGCAATAATCCGCTCTACAGGGCAGAGGAAAAGGAAAGCAGTATCTCCTCTGCACTTTACAGCAATTTGCATGCCTGGTATATTCCTGGAAAGAGCAATTTCTGTATTCTTGCTGGCACAGGAACCACCATTACCCCTTCCACTGCATATGCGAGTTGTAACAAGCCAACAAATGACATATAATTTAACAGAATTATTTGTGTACTTCTTCTCTAATTCTTGAGGCAAAAAGTTTTTGGAATATTCCAAAACTGGCAGTGAAAGATTGCAATGGAGAATCTGAATGTTCTGACAATATAAACGTCTGGACAAAACTACACAAGTTCAGGTGCAGAAATACAATTGCAATAAAAAAAGAGGGGATATTAGAAGCATCTTTTACCTTATTCTACCAGGGTCATACTACTTCAGATCACTGTACAAATTTCCCAAAGGTATGTATTAAAATTCTTAGCTCACAAATATTTTAGCAGTTGTTAAAAGCAGGGGAGGCCATCCTTCCCTTAGGCCATCCTTCCATTTTGACATACAGCTACATTATATAAAGTATAAGGAGAAGAACAATTTTCATCTGAAGTCTGACAGTACAAAGTGCAGGCTCTCCAGTATTGTCAAGAACATATGTACAAACAACTTGCAGAGTCCTTAGATAAAAACAGTGTACATAAGTATTGCAACAAGGAACAAGACAAGGATGATCACTTACTCTTATGGAAGCGTATAAAAAATATTAACCCAGCAAAAATGAAATTACAGAAGTTCTTGGAACCATCTCCATGGCAATCATATCCTGTCTGTGATGTGACAATCCATTTGACAGCCAGGAATAGAATTTGAGAGGGATGAGATCTAAAATTAATATTTCTTCTTCTTTCACTTCTTCACTCCATATTAATATATTAGCTGATTGATTTTCATGGCATGTTTATACTAGTAATACATTTTATGCGTTTTCTATCAACTACCTAATACCCGTCCCTTTCCTTGTTTTCTTCTTAGGATTCTTATAGCATTTTGCACACATTCCTTCCATTGATTCCCTCCTCCCAAGTCCAGGTTTTTTCTGTATTAGTCATTTTTCTGAATCCAGGCAAGCTGTGCCTAGTTTTAGCGCTCCATGTCAATTTAAAAATATAATTTGTCCTTCTATCCAGTATATTCTTAACTTGGTTCTAAATTCTGCATTCTTTTCAACTCAGAATGTCAAGCCTGACTCACTCCACATATTAGAGCTAGAGCAGCTCTGACATTGTTGATTTTTCAGTAAACTGACTCCATAAACAAACCTCCCCTAGTGTCTCCTATGCTTTACAACAGCCAGCACCTATATAAATAAATGACCTTAAATCTGCACTTGTTAAAATAATAATGAGGTTTACTTTATGGCCTACATTTTCATATATTTCACATAACTCCCTATAATGCCCCATGACTCAAGGGAGACTTAAATATTCACTTGCATGACAAGATATCCAAGGGTACATGAATATGTTTAAACAAGATAAATCCTTAAATGTAAGGCTGATAATCTATAGTTGGGATTAGGAAATAATTTGCTGTGCATACAGTCATAGACCTTTCCAGCTAAAATGTACTTTAGGCTACACAAATGTTCAAGAAATATTTCACACAGGCTAGAGAATGTCAAAGAATACACAATTCCCTCTCTGCCAATTCTCAGGGCTATGCTGTAACTACAGCAACCACTTAGATAGATGAGTAACACTGAAAAATGGTTACTGCATTAAAAAGACCTCTAAATATTCATCCATGTGCTCAACTCATCAAGTGAAGATCATTTACACAATACTGTGCATTGTAGTTTCTCTTCTTAGTTTCATTCATTGTGTTTCTCCCATTTAGGCATGACTTTAGCAGCAACCAAGGCTTCTGTGAGACCATCTTCAAGAAATAACCTTGGGAGAATCAGCAAATCAGGCAGTCCATAGCTTTGCTTTTTTCTCTAGAATGAATTTCCTTGTTCTTCCTTATCAGGCAAGAAAAGAAGGTAGGAAATGGAGCTAAAAATCCAGGGAATTATTTACATATCTCTCGAAAATTGTTATCAATTAAATTGCATGGCCTCCCTGTTAATTTATGAGTTCCCACTTAGTGTGGTGCAGATCTCTTCTAAAAATATGTCTTCTATATGCTTTGTTATTCCTGCTCTTTACCTTGTCTTTTTAACTTTTGAGACCACGGGCTATTCTTGGCCTATTTCCTCTTTAAAAATGCCATCCATGTACCAATGAGCATAGTGGCCTCAGTTTGGGAAATCCAGCAGCATAAACTTTTGCCTTTAGTGATGCTGAAAGAAAAGCTCCACTTTCCACTTGAAGCTAAAATTGTTGAGTGAGGTGACATCCCTAGCAGGAAAAGCAGCAACAGTATTTCCAGCAGTAGCAATTTCATGCTCATTAT